ATACAGCCCTGTAACTCGCGATTTAGCCCTGCAACTCACCAACGAAGACGACGAAAGACGGTAGATCGAAAGTCTGGTGCAACTCACAAACGCAGATCGCCGATAGCCAAGCTTCCAAGTGCAACTCAAGAGTCACGACTGAGATTCTTAGCCGACGCAGAGACGGTTCTACCCCTGCGAGCGATTCCTATTCTTCACACTCTATTTTTCCGTGTCTGCTAATTACTGGTCTGCTACATGGGCTGCCACAGTTTTTTATACAAAATGAAATTATGAGCATAGTAGACATTTCGAATGAGTTTTATGATTGCTCATTTTATAATTTATGTATACTCATTTGATATTTGCTTAATACTCATTTTAAATGAAATGAGTTTTATGTTAAACTCAAATGAGTATAACGCCCAAAAAGAATGAGCACACACAAATGAACCTTTTAGTTACTTGATACTAACTTGTAAGTTATGTATGCTCATTTTAAAATGTTGAACATTTCAAATGTATCGTACTAAACGAAAAAATAATAAACCAAAAGTGATATATAAGGTTTGAAGCAGAGATCATTGATTCTCACTGTTAGGCTCCTAATACTCAAAAGAACAGGATTGTTGCTCATCAAAGTTGCATAAATGCTCATTTAGGAGAATCCGCGATTTTTCACAAAAATTACAATTTTGTCACCGGCTGTACAGTGATCACCGTACAGCCGGCTGTACAGTATACGCGTTCTTGCAAATTATACCATCGTAGTGCATGGGCCTCGGCCATTTGTAAATTTTCAATGGCTGGTCCATTTTTCTTGAGTTATTTTAACGTTCCAAGTTTCTTTTGTTTGGGTCATCTTCCATTCAATCCATTGCCGGATGCTCATTTGCATATAAAGATTTGGCCGATATGTAATTCGGTTGGAATAGCACTATCCTCCCGTTTCTTGTAAGGTTGGAATAGCACTATCCTCCGTTTCATGTTTTAGATCTCATCTGTTTTTTCGGCTTATCAGCTAACTTTTTAACTATACACGTAACTTTTGATTTCGCGCGCTGAATTGTGTAATAATAAGAAAAAGTAAAGTTGAAGTTATTTTTCTGACTTTATTAGCTGAATTTACTGTGCATGATCATTTAGCTATTTTAGAACTTCATAAATTTCAACTGAATCAGCCGATTTTAGTGTTACCAAACGGGCTCTTATTTTGATTATTCTTAATTTATTAATGAATTAGAATTATTGTTTTGAAAAATATTTTTGAATTTGCCTCATTACAAACTTTCATAATATGATATTTTATGTTTTCACTAATAGAGAGTTAAATATAATAATGATCAAAGTTGTGTGTTAACAAGTGTGAAAATATGAATGCTGCAACAAAAAAATGGAGGAAGTATATGCAAAGCATATACTACTAAGAAGAAAAAACAACCACCAGTGGTAACTATTTCATTGGTTCTAATTTGGTATGCCAAGTTTAGCAAGTATTCTAGTGAGATGGATGAGAGAAATTTGTAGAGAGATTTTTTTAAAGAAGTTACTTTCATTTTTTAAACAACCACCGGTGGTAACTATTTCAAAAGTCCTATTTCCGTATAAAACGGTGATCCTATTCGAATGAATTTTGTCAACTTCCTTTTTATATTCTCAATAACTCTTTCAGCTTTTCACTTTATCTCAAATTCTTTATCCCAATGGACTAAAAACGTATTTAAGCAAAAAAGTAGAACAATCAAGACATATTTTAGGATTATTAGTTTATTATATCCCTAACTATCGTTAAATTCACAAATCTATCCTATTTTAAATTTATTTAAAAAACACTATAGTTGAATCTTTTTTAATTAACAATTGTACTTTTCTTAGTGTTTTTTCAACTTAATAATTTATATCAATATCAATACTTATTATATACTTGGATTAAATTACATAATTTATTAGGACAACTATGGAAGTATATAAATATCAATTGTAGTAATAAATACTGGAACATACCGGATCGATCCACATGAAGGCGTTTGATTTTATAAAGTTCAAGATTTGAGTCCCAAAGTATGAAATCTATACAAATTGCAGGAGTTTCTCTTGATATTGGATTAAAAATAAGAATAAAGATGATCAAGATACCAATAAGCATCTTACTGAAATACAAAAAAAAACAATAAGCATCTTACTAGTGTTTAATGTTAGTTTTTTGCAATTATAATGAGTACAATGTCGCTAACATACCCCCGACTCCTGCCAGTTAAGACAGTGGAAATGTGATTTCCGTTACGTGTAAGTCTTATCACGGCTTATACTCGTTCACCGAATACGTTGAATCCAAGACCTCTCCTTGTGGTACATTCCTCCTACCAGAGCTGGGCTACATCTCTCGGCCATTTTCTTATTTTTGACACTTTTCTCAACTAGGCTTGGACTCGGTGCGGGCCACCCGGCCCGGGAACCGGCCCGGCCCGCTACTGTGCGGGCCCGGCCCGGCCCGAGAAACCGGGTCTGGTTCCGGTTCGGGTCTAGGCTCAGGGGGGTCTACCGGTTCCGGGCACGGGTAAGGGAAAAGGGGAACTGGGCCGGCCGGGCCCGGTTCGGGCCTTTTTTTATTTATTTTTTGATTTTTTTGATTTGGGCTGAGGTTAGTTGGGCTGGGCTGGGTATTTCCGAGGGGTTTGGAGGGTTGGGGGGGGATGGGGGTGGGGGTGAAATAAATAAGAATAAAAAAAATGAACCGGAACCGGCTCAGCCCGGAACCGGTCAAGACCCGGGCTGGTCTCGGGCCTATAGATACGGAATCAGCGACCCGGCCCGGGCCGGGCCGGGCCGAGTCCAAGCCTTTTCTCAACCCTCAGGCGCCAGGCTTACCTTTGATGTAAAAATGCTTTCTTTTTATACCCTTTTAACTTCAACAATTAACTCAAGAGTGTTAGTCTTTTAACCTTTTTGTTTCCCCTTCACCTTTGATCATTCACATCTCAAGTTCTTTTTGGGACTTTTATGTGTATAACTGTCTATGTAAAACATAAGTAATTATTATAACTATCAATTTTTTTATTTATTATTTAATTCTATTTTTCTTCATGAATTAGCAAGAACTTAAATGAAATCATAAAAAATCAATCGCATATACTAATCTATACCATCTCAAAAATGACATTAATGATACTCTAAGAGCATCATTAATGGGAGGATGTCAACATTAAAAAAATTGTGACACATGTCAATAGATTATTGGAATGTTTAGCCATGTAGGAAGCATGTCAAACCCACGTTTCAACATATGTTGTAGTGCTGCAAAATGTTCTCCAGTGCTAGGTTTAAGCTCTAACTGTTTTGTACAAGTGGCAAATTTCAAATTCAAATTAATAAATGAAAAACTAAATATGATTCAGATTTTCCTTTCAATAGACTTTCTGATAACGAGATTTCAGTTGATCAAGCTTTAGCTTTTGCCAACAATTCACGTACATAGCTATTTGCCTTTGTCTCGTAAGCAATTTCTTCTTGATTTTCCCTTGTTAATTTGTTAAAAATTTTATCAATTGAATATATAATTTGTCTATTGTTTTTATTGCGGAGATCACATGCATCCATGAAGCACTATTCCAGGCAAGTGCATTGAGGTTAATATATTTTAATAAACTAGTTAATTTTCTTGTACATGAAAAAGTAATAACATAAACATATGATTAATGTTGAAAAAAATATATATACTTATGGTTAAATTCAAGTATTGAGATTTAATAACATCATTATTTTTATATCATTTAATACATAAATGTTTTATAAATGTTACCATAGTTCCTATTGTAATGAAAAATATGCAACCGTGAATTTTTTAATAAGGATGTTTTTCAATTCGATTGAATTTGTTTTAGTTTGATTTGGTCTGATCTGGTCCGATTTGTTTAAGTCTTGTCTGGCAGATGTCTGGTCTTCATTTATTATTTTTATTTTGATTTAGTCTGTTGATTTATTTACAATAATATATACTTTTTGTAATCAGGTTAATTTTGACAATGATGAGGTGCAAACAGAGAGAGCACTTAGCTTGAAATCTATTTAATAGAAGAAGAAGAAGTAAGTTTAAAGTGGGAAATATGTGGAAATGGAAAAAATCTATGTACTTACCACAAATCAAATCCTTTGAAGAGAGCTATGCTGCCTTGAACATTCCTCCATCTACGAATCTTCACTTTGGGGAGAAAAGAAATGAGGTGGGAGTGGGAGTGTGGGGCACTGGGAGAGATAATTTGGGAGGTGGGAGGGAGAAGTTTTTTACGCGGGTAATTTTTTTTAGGTCGGCGGGATAATTTTATGTGCCAAAATAGCTGACTCAGCATGTGAACGGCAGTGTTAAATCAAGACATTGATGTAAACAGTTTCAAAATAATTTTTTGACAAGTTAGCATTACAAGAAGGTTACATTGCTGCGTTGGAAAAGAGATTTTTACACCAATGTTTAAAGTGACTGACGTAGCCATAATTTTTACTGTCAACGTCTTCGGACTGGAGATGCTCTAACTAATCCATGTATTGACTAACTGACAAATTAATGATATTATAAAAGTTATTAAAGTAATTTAAATACTAACTTTTATTGTTTGATAAAACATACTTGTTACCAATAAAATTTTGAACTCTTTCTTTATAGTTGTATGTCTCTTACTTTTTTCTAGTTATGTTATGCATAATAATTTTATTACGTACAAGTGATAGAGTTTCACACTTTCACCACAAGTAAAAAAGGTCTAGTTTATAGAAATAAGATTTTGTATAAAAATTATAAGGAATACAAGTTTCTCAACTTAAAACTAGAAAGAAACGAAAAAGTATAAAATAGAAACAATTTTTCTTCTTAAATATTACTCCGTACTAATTATCCATGCAATTGTGAGATAAATTTGTGAATTTAATGAAAGCTAGGCATATTAAGCTAATAATCTTATGTTTTATTACTCTGGCTCAAACCAGTTCACAGAATGAGTTACATGCCTATATATAGTGTTGAAGCAGATCATAAATATCTCAGAAACTTTTTGCTAAAAAAGAATTGATGACTCTTGCATCATACTATGTACTAGTTTCAACGAGATTAATGACAAAGACTATCGTTCAAGAAAAGTTGATCCCTGTTTCTGGGTTAAATAGTAATCGCGCTACAAATACGACTATTACATTAATTGTAAAAATTAGTGAGATGAGAAGGGTTTACTGTAGTACATATGATGGCTTGTTGCACTAGTTTGTGAACTTGCGAGAAAATCAAATACAAAAATTTGACCTAATTACACTTGCAAGAAAACTCGGATCCTCAAAGTCAGCAGATTTTCAGCCAAATGATGTGCTCTCTATTCTATGCAAACATTCTTTTCTCAGGGTTGACTGCGTAAATATAGCTCTGATGAAGTCTTGAACCTGCAAAAATATGATTCCTTTTAAAATTACTTTCTCAAAATATGAAACAAGTCAAAATTCTAACCAGATTTAGGCTACACTTGATTGAAGGAAAATACTTTCATATAAAATTTTCTTTGTTTTTCTTGTTTTGGGAGTGGAATATTTTTTTATTCTTTGGGGAAATGAATTATTCATTTTTTCTTTTTTGAAAACAAAAAGGAATACAATTTTCTAGAAACAGTTTCACTTTTATCTTTTTGCGAGTAAAATATACGTAGTAATACGTAGTACTACACAAAACTTATTTCTTAGAAAAGACAGTTTTTTTTTTCACAGCAAGTTAAGTTCATGCAATCAAATGGACTCTTAGTCAACTGATTCTAAATTGTCATCCAATAGTCTACCTCAGGCGATGTAAAACCACAAATGACAAGTTCACCACTTTCCCAGGATTCAGTGATCGACTTCAATGGCATGTCCAAAAGATCTTCATGGAAAAGATAGTATTGTTATTAACCTCACTCTGGTCCAAGTATTGTTAAATGAAAACAAAATTTCTTGAGCATCATTTAAGGTGAGTAAAAAGTATAAAACCTGCAATTTTCTGCAACTTTCGGAGCGATGGTATGAGATCATCAATAGTTTGCACAGGGTATTCCTGTAATTTCTCTCTCTGAATGATGGCCAAAAGGAATTCCAGAAATGGTTGAAGGTTTTCAAATAGCAAGTGAATCAAACTCTGAAGCTGTTATCAAGTAAGTGAATAGTGCACGAGTTGTTAATGCTCTGAATTTTTTATCACCAGCCCATATAGTTTCAGACCTTGTTTGGGAACCCTAAAATTTAAGTTGTTCTAAGAAGTTTCAGATGTTGCTGGAATGATGTTCATGCTCGGAAATATTCTTCTTTTTTTAGCTTTTCACAAGTTCTCAACTATTTTTAAGCAACTTGTTTTTTCTTTCAGCTATTTAAATACTCTCTCCATCCCATTTTACCTGTCTTACTTTCCTTTTTGAGTTGTGCCAAAGTAAGTGTCATGTTTCCTTTTTTGGAAATAAATATGTGGTCTACAACATTTCAGTTTATTATACTTAAATCTCAACCATAACTTTTACTTTTTCAAGCACTTTATTAATAATTGTGCCAAACCAAAACAAGACAAATAAAATGGGATGGGGGTAGTACTATTTTACCATGTAACAGCTATTTGTAGTTACAATTAAACAAAACTAATTATTTTAAAACCACTTTTGGGCAAGCTTTGCTCAAACAAAAACAAGCAATTAACGAAATAACTAATTATACATGAAATCAATTATACGAAGATTCTAATTTTTTCAACTATCCCAAACTAACTGTAAGTATATACTACTAGTGTTTAATCTTGGAACCAACCTGTAATGTTTCTTCAGCTGCCATATCATCTAAAAGAAGTATGTCCTTTGCTACTCTAGAAAATATCTCCTCAAGAAACATGCTCATACTTCTCTTGTATGTGGAAGGTAACAGTAAAGACTTCCAAACAATATGAACTTTCTCAAGAATGAATACAACCTGATTAAGAACAGTTAACTTACCCTGTTATGAATAAACAAAAAGTAAATAGGAAAAATGTGGCACAACAATGCACACGTTCTGCAATTTACCTGGTCAATACTCAGCTTAGCAGATTCATATTGCTTAATCAGGTGGGTATTTTGAAATCCATCAGCACCATCAATTTCCTTGGAATCAAATAGATTGACAGAATATATATTATTAGAGGATGCAAAGACAAACTTCATTATTAATATATACATAAATCAGAAGAACTTTACCTGCTTTAGGTTAAGAACTACAAGTCGGATTTGTCTCTGCAACACTTCTTCTGCCATCATCTCAAACCTTGGCGCCAAATCCACAAAAACTGCAACCTCTTTAATCAAACCAGGGAAGTTTGAGCGGTACTGAAAATCAAAGTATCAATATCACAAGGGCAAAGAGTGACAAGTTCAAACCATATTATCTTGTACGCAATTTAATTAAGCTAGCTAGATACACTTGTCAACTTGTTATATTCCAATTAAGTGATTAACTATTTTTATTTGGTAAATCTAATGGAGATGATGAGCCCAGTTGAAAATAATCAAAGCAGTGGTTGTTTATGGGTTACACTTGCACCAAACTAAACCGCAAACATCATATACTCCAATTAAAGAACTGAATGTCTGAATCACTTCTGTTATCAACCATCATGGAAAACTCAGGATGCATTTACATTTTATTTATCAGATTAAAAAAGATTGGTTGATGTGTATTGTTATAAATTTCAGATTTACCCTAATTAAGTATAGAAATACAAAGTATTCCCAAGTAGAAACACAGAGAAATAGCAACGGTATATTTCTTTACCGGGAGTTGCTATATTTCTATATTTCAACAAAGCAAGGGAAGACCGGCAGAGAAACCCTTTCAATACACTTCAAAAAAAATAATGATTTCATTTACAAAAAAACCCAAGTATTATGGATCGGATAGGTAGCAGCTGAAAACCTAGCTTATAAAGTACTCCCTCCGTCCCGCTAACAATGGGACAAGAAGGAGTGACACGCAAATCAATAAAAAGTGGTTTATGTGGTTGATATTGAATTGATAAAGTAGGAATAAGGTGAGAATGATTTAGAGCCACACAACTTTTTCAAATTTGGTATGAGACAATCTTAGTGGGACGGACCGATAAGGTAAAACGGGACAATCATAGCGGGACGGAGGTAGTATAAAACAGCTACTCATACAAACATGACATGAAAATATAGACATGCAATAACTAATAACTGTCCTTCCCTACCTCAAATGCAAGCCCAAGAATCTCCTGAGACAAATACAGACAATCATTATGGATAAGAACAGCTGCATGATTGATGGAATCCAGCTGCTTTTCCAACTTCGATAGTCAGATATGAAAGAAAAATGAAACATAAAATGTGTTACCAGTTTACTACCCATTTTTTAGCAATTAAATCAAAAGGGGGGTGTGAAACTATTAGTAACTTACTAATGAGAAGTTAAAACTGAATGCCTATACAGTAAGTTTGTTTATGCTCTGCTGCTAAGAGATTTAATGATACAACTAGCTAACTCTACTAACCTTAACTGGCATAACAGCTTCATAAAGGAGCAGTGAATCTCGAGCAGCTTGGTAAAACTCAACTCCCACTCTTGGAGATGATAAGCAAACGTCCTACACACATCAAAATCTTTTTACTGGGGTTAAAAATATATCTTATATCGTTCAATTAACAAAAAAACATAAATTAATAAAAAAATATGGAGAAGACTAAAATAATAAAATCAGAGTACGCCCAACTACAAAAGTAGGTCCACTGACTCAGCACCATTGACATAAGAGCGCTACTTAGAAATTTTATAAGTACTCTAACAGAACCATAATTCTGTCCAGAGAATTCATAATCAGATACAAGCAGCCATTTCTACTTGATCACTGAAAGATATGTTAAATTAGTAGTATGAAACTCCCTGTTTCCTTATTTAGTTTGTGAGTTACTTTTCCATGGTATCGTGTAGACACGGGATCATTATAATATTTAAATATGTCAAATTAAAAATCACGAGGATATTTTGAAAACAAACATTGAGACAAATCTAACAAGATCCCACTTGAAAATATCTTTCTTATATTTAAGAAATTAAATATGGTCAAAGTTTTCAAAGTTTGACCACATAAACAGGATGTGAGGAGCCAATTAAGGGACACAATATATGTAGCTAAGTTTGATCACATGGATAGCAAGTGAGAAGCTCTTTAAGAGACAGAATTAGTATCATATGTTGCTTAAGCTTTTATAGGTTGTGTTTGAGAGCTAATTTTCCCAAGTTCATAGTATCAAATATAAACGGAGTACATAAGTTATGAAGGAATAAAATATTCATTTGTTCACAAACAGAAGTCTTTCGACCTCCTGCATTTTGTTCCATTCTACCCATATTGAGAACCTTTATAAAAATCAGAGCTCAGCAGATTAATTGAGTTCTAAAAAAATAACTCGTCTTTAATATATTTCCTGCCTTTAAATTTTAATTGCGTTTTAACTTGTACACACTGACCTTGAGGGTCTGGTGCACTAACTTCATAAGTTGATATGCTGCTTCAGACACCATGCATCTTTCAGATGAAAAAAGCAAATCAACAACATAATTACATGTAGCATTGCCATTGCAGTCATCCTTTACTTGAGTTTCCTTCCCATTATCCTGCAAAAAGATAAGTCTAGCATGTTTTATGCTGAAAATTTGATTAACTTCACACGAAAATAAGATATTTATGAATTATTACTCACTTCACGGAAATGAAAATCACATCGTATAAGCAAATTTCTAGCCTTTGTCAAAATTTCAACTTTCTTCCTTGAAGCAAAATGGACTTCAACATTATCAGCAAAGTTTCTCAACCTTTCATCCTTGCTATCAGATGATGAGATGAAAGACAAATCTTTCAGAGCTGTTTCAAACTCATATGTGTATTCTACAATTTTTTGAAAGTCTACAAGTTTGGAAGCATCATCAGGGACAACCTGCATCAAGAAGCCATTAGCCCATAATACCATGTTTCTATCTTATTATATAAACTATTAAGCACTGAAGGTCAAAAGGAAAAATTATGCACAAACAATTCCCACTTGAACCTTAACTTTCATGCCTTTGGACGCATTTATCTTTTGTAACTAGGTGGGTGAATTTTCCATATGACCATATCAAAACAAATGAATGAGACACGAGCAATTACATATGACATTTAAGAAAAAACTTAAATACACTTCTAAATGTGCAATATGAGAAGTATTAGTCAGAGTGTTTCTACCATTATCTTAAAAGTTAAAACAGAACTTATCTTTCAAGTCAACGCATCAAGAAAGCTAAAGTGTGAAATGTTATACGGACAAAAAAAACTTGATCTAATAATTTGGCATCACGGAATTATCAAGAATGTCAAGCCAATGATACACACCTTCGACAAAAAGTTCGAAATGATTGAATCTGACATCCTCGGCCATGTTAGCCTTCCAAAACGGCGCATCCAAATATCATTTTGGAAGCACAAGGATTTGTAGATGAACTTAACAATCTGAATCAGAGCTGAATACATGGCTTCACCTCTTGAACAGTCAAACTGCATGTATGAGACATGCATGTTATTAGTAACACTTACAAAGCATTCTACTTCACACTTATCTATGTTGCTTTTATGGCTTCACATACACAATATTTTATGTTTCACCCCTGCCCAGAATTATCTTTTAGACACCTAATCATTAAATTGCCTGAAGCCAACACAGATATTAATATATTACTATAGTGTTTCTATGCATAAGGCATGCATGTGTTAGTACCGCTTAAAATCATTTGAACCCTCACTTATCTATGTTGCATTTATGGCTCCACAAGTTCACATATACGATATGTTCCATCCCGATGCCCAGAATTAACTTCGAGATACCAAATCATTAAATAGCCTGATGCCTTGGATATTAATATATTAACACAGTAGATATGAAAGGAATACCTTGTGATCAGTTGAAGGGACAATCCTCAAAACTGAATCTGCACTATTCCCTGATTCATGAGTTATCTCTTCGACATAGTGAGGAGTTGACCAATTGACAACCAACGGAGTAACAATAGTCTTAATCATTGAATCTGCTACTTTTGCAAGTCCATAATCCATAATGGAGAGAGTCTAGTAATTATCAACAGAGGGAAAAAGTGTCGCATGTGAAATTAAATTAAATATTAAAGACTTGACCACTCAGTAATAAAGAATTTGTAATACAGGCGCTTCAATTTCCTGTCTAATGATAAAATACTTACTTCCATGGCTTTTAAAATTGTTGGAAGCTCAATCCCATGGATGCTTATGTGATGCTTCGCACGAACTGTAATGCTTTCATGCTCAAATCGCAGAGCATCTTCTATACATTTCAAAAGAAGCTCTTGTATCTACACATCCAAATGCAACTCCTCTAACCAAAGAATCACAAAACTCAAATAAAAATCATTAATATATCTCCTTCAACTTCATGCTCACTATTAATAGAGCTCATTCTTCCAATCACCCAAAACATGCCGATAGCCCAATACTTATCAGAATGTAGTCATGTACAACCAAACAGCTCACTACATAGCCTGTATGGTGTTCCCTTACCCCCCCCCCCACAATATTTTTGCAAATTGAAGACGTACTCATTTAAATAGCAGAACAATAATCACAAGTTAGAAAGTCACCATAAGTTCATAACAGATAGTGAGGCGAAACGAGGCAAATGACCAAAGAATAACATTCAGCATTTCATTTTCATATTAACCAATGATACACCGCTGCCACGTCATAGCACACGTGGGCGCATGATGAATCCCAGGTTTTATGACACCAACACTTACGTGAATGCCCTGCAGACTTGGACTGAGGGAGCTGGAAGCTGCTGCACGTGAAAGGAGCTCCTGCACATTATTAATTATTAATTAATTACTTATTGCTATGTCTTTTGTAATTGTTGGTTATTTCCATTTTAGTATGGCTATAAATAAGGGGAGTGTGCGAGTGGTTTTATCCATTTCCACCACTCACTAAGCCAGTTAGATTTGAAGTTGAAGCTGTATAAGAACGGTGCCATATTCTGAGAAAAAGGGCATGAAATGAGAATCCACCTTCTTGCCATCCATTAGCTGTCTTCTTCTTAATATTTCTCTTCTTCACACTGTCCTGGCTTACCTATTGATAACCCAGGACAGTGTGAAGAAGATAAATATTAAGAAGAAGACAGCTAATGGATGGCAAGAAGGAGGATTCTCATTTCATGCCCTTTTTTCTCAGAATATGGCACCGTTCTTATACAGCTTCAACTTCAAATCTAACTGGCTTAGTGGGTGGTGGAAATGGATAAAACCACTCGCACACTCCCCTTATTTAAAGCCATACTAAAAGGGAAATAACCAACAATTACAAAAGACATAGCAATAAGTAATTAATTAATAATTAATAATGTGCAGGAGCTCCTTTCACGTGCAGTAGCTTCCAGCTCCCTCAGTCCAAGTCTGCAGGGCATTCACGTAAGTGTTGGTGTCATAAAACCTGGGATTCATCATGCGCCCACGTGTGCTATGACGTGGCAGTGGTGTATCAACCAATACATCACAAATTTGGTTAACAACTAAATGACTTCTTTATGATTTTTGCAGTTCTTATTTCCTCGTTTATTGGCCTAGCAAACGATTGAACCACATGTGAGCATAATAACAGAAAATTATTAACTGGTACAGCCGTGTATATCTAGTAAGGTGGATCTATGTGTGATAAGTTGATCCTACTGAAAAAATATAAGCATATTACCAACACACATACGTTTTTCTTATATTTCTAATTGACCCATTTCATTTCATTTTCATTGACCCCATTAAAAATAAAAAACTGACACTCCTAAACTACAAAATGCGAGTCAGAGTATAAAAATAATGTTACAATATAGAATTTTAAGAGAGAAATTACAAATTAACATCAAATCATTGCTGTGTTTTCTTATTCATCTCTTGGACTACGAAGCTACGTTCTTTAGGATCTTCTGTTTCCTAAAAAGTTATGCTGTCCATATTTTTCATAAGTAATGCCTCAGTTCCGAGTTCCAAACTACGGGATAGTTCACATGTGTTTGACACTTTGATGTGTTTTCCTTTCAATGTAAACCTAGGGACCATTTCTACATTTTCCATGCTGCTTGATAACTGTCACCTAGTTGTGGGCCTTCATACCAGCATCGTAGGAACTGCCATGGCTTTTTAGGTATGAAATTCTTGATATGTGAATTGTTTTCTAAACTAGCCGCTTACACAAATTATTTTTGCAATGTTTGAATTTGTGAAAGTTTCAAATTGTATAGTAGTTGTAGTTGTTCTTTTCTATGATGTGTATACTTTATATTAGAAGTTAATTTGATCTTTGAACGCAGTTGAAATGTTGAACTAAAAGAATGAAAGTATGAAATAAATTAATTAATAGTCTCTTGGAATTATACCACTGATGATTAAAAATAGCTATTTTATTTATTTTAGATAATGAAAATATTTTGCAGAGGAAAATCAACATTGGAACAATCGAGTTTGTCAACATTGGATCCTTCAAGAACATCTACAACAATTCTGAGCTATGAAGATTCTGATGAACCGATTAAGAAATCACATGGAGACAGTTTGATGAATCAATTATAGTGAAAGTGTAAAACAGGCTGTTTAATAGTTCCGTGAAGACGAAACAATTCTTCAATGAGTTCAAACTATGAACACTCATCATAGCAGTTGAAGTTTTACTAGAAGTCTTATGTAATATTTATCCTAAAACCTGTTTATTTTGCTATTTGTCTGTGTATATAAGTGAATTACTATGGTGCTACATCGAAATGAGAGAGTTAATATCCCAGACACTACATCATGAAATTTGTGTCTCATAGGAAGTCACTCCAATATATTGGGACTGCTAGATGAAATTCATTTGTGTCTCAACTATCCTATTATGCAACTAAACTGCTATATGAACATTTAAACGACTATTGCTGTTTCCAACAAATTCTCTTAAAAACCAAAATATTTAAGTAAAAAAATTAAATTTAAAGGCAATGCAGTATTACCATCGTAAACAGGTTAACTGATTTTAGCAAACAACATCAAATATTGTTCAGATAGACATCTTTTCTTTTCACTGCCAAGCTTTCATAGAAAAAGAAATCATAAGCTTACCTCTTCGAAGCACTCAGTCCATTGGTTTTTTAGCAGATCATATACTAAAGGTAGTGGCTTATTCTCCATCTGCGCGTCATTGTCGCTGACTTGCAGCGCCGCCTTCAATTCCTTCAAAGACAATGCGGCTTTTTCCACACTCCCGGTCTTCAATTCATCTTTTACTAGCTCTAATTTCCCACTGAGATCCAAAAATAGCCCTAGAAACTCTAGTAAATCCCTCTTCTCGCTCAGCTCTCTTCTCTTGGCAACAATTTCGTCGATCACAGCTTTGGTAGTAACCTCGATGGGCCGGTCGGATATGAGACGGAGCAAGTCTGTAACTTGGTCGGAAAGGTGTTCGGAACTCGAGACGACGTCTGAGCATTGGGTGATCAGTGCAGAGAAATCGGAGTGGTGGGAGAGAATGTACTGACGCACTTTAGATTTGATGGCAACAGAGCGGATTTGGAGACGGTCGATGAGAAGGCGGAGATCCGGCGCGGAAAGTGGTGCCGACGCGTCGTCCACGTCCGGCACGGATAGAAGGTCCCGGACGTCAATCGAGTTGAAGAGGACGTCCATTCTTGCCGTCTCCGTGTAATTCTAGAGCATCTCCTTAAACTGTAAGTAAAATGCTTTGTGCATCTCATTTAAGTGGGCATCATTGAGTTGCTCCATTTATAGCCACACAATTAGGGATGGGGTAAAAATATGGTACAATTTTGGGGTATATATACTCCAAAATAGTACTCCATAGTACTAAGGGCTAATTATATATGGAGCATCTCATTTAGTTGCTCCATTTATAGTACTCCATAGTACTAAGGGCTAATTATATACTCCCTCTATCCCTTAAAACTTTGTCAAGTTTGACCGACACAGGATTAATAAAGTAAAAACTGTGTGATAGAGCTTTGTGTAAAGGAGAGCGAATTAACTGGAATCACAAATTCTTTACTCAAAATGGAAAGTTGAAAAGTTAGTATGACATGCAAAAAAGGAAAGTTGAGAAATTTTAAGAGACGGAGGGAGGGTATTTCTTTCAAAAAAGGTGCTATTTTTGTTATTGATTTAATCGATTCATAATGCGGTGATTGGTGATTTAATCCACTCGTGTTTTTTCGGTCCAATTTTTAGTATGCTTCTAATTTAGATAATTCTCCTCATTTTAGTTTAGTACTAGTTTAAGTTAGTTGATAAACAATTTGTAGAATTAAAGTGTGCTGATTTATGATGAACAACAATATCCATTTTTTCCATAAAAAAACAATGTCCACTTTAACTTGAATGAAATTCAAAGTTGAAACCTACAAGTTGGTCAGGTATGGTAAGGGGTAGGGGTAGGGGAGGGGTATGTTTGGGAGTAAGGAAGTGATATAGTTGAAGTTGATCATGCCACATCATCAAGATATATCAGTTGTGAACTGTTAAGCATTGTAATTAGAAGCTTATGAAATAATGACATGTGTCGAGTTAGTTAAAGTTAGTTGATTGGTTGAGCTAACTTTGAACTAAGTTGCGATCATTATATAGCTTCCTTGGTACAAAATAGAGGATCGTGAATAATAGCAATCATCTTCTTCCTAAACTTCTCCCCTCATTCTAAAAGTTCTATGGTGTATCTGTACAAACTCTCGTTATCTAATCGTATTCATTACAAACATAACCTGACTTGTATCATTGGTATCAGAGCGTTGAACTGATTACTTTTGATGATTGTTGAAAGCAAATTAGCATCCAGTTTCATATTGAATCAGGATGGTGCAGACACAGAATTCTAATTCTGAAATGGATGAAGCTTTGAAAGTCAATAACCTGGAGTTTGATAAAAAAATTGGAAAATCAAAACAAGCTTATGATGGACATGATGAGTAAGATCATGAAGAAAGTGGTAGAAATCGAGAAAACTAAGGTTGTTGATGAAGAAGACACAGATGAAGATAGTAATATGAAAGACAAGGAAGAATTGTCATCAGAAGAAGAGTCAGATGGAATTATTGGCAAATCTCCATCATCTAACCAGAATGCTTTCAGATTTACGCCCAAAGTGGAATTCCCTACGTTTGAAGGACATAATGCAAAACTCTTGATTCAAAAATGTGAAAGGTATTTTACGCTTTGCCATATTCCTGATAATCAAAAGGTAAATTTGGCTTCATTATACCTTGAAGGGAGAGCAGCAAGTTAGTTTGGACACTTTGTGGGGTCTAAGAAAAAGCTGAAATGGAAACAGTTTATACATGAATTAGCGCTAGGTTTAATGATAACATGAGCAATAAAGTAGTTGAGAGATTTAATAATCTAAAGCAAACAGGGTCATTGGAGACTTTTATTGATGAATTTGAAACCCTTAAGTTGCTATGATGCAAAGAAATCCTCAACTACCAACCAACTATTTCTTGGACTGTTTTTTAGCAGATCGTAAAGCTACGCTAAAATCATTTGTCAAAGCTTTTAATCCCAAGAGTATGGCATAAGCTATAGAGTTTGCAAGATTACAAGATGATACAGTAGAAGCTATTACTGTACAGGCTAAATCTACAAACTTCTAAAAAAATAGCTTTAAACAAATCATTACTACCAACACCAACTCAGCCACCAACGATGGTTTTGTAATGAATAGAATTAGATAACGAGAGCTTGTACAGATCGAACATAGAACTTTTATAATGAGGGGAGAAGATTAGGGAAGAAGATGATTGTTATTATTCATGGTCCTTTATTTTGTAAAAAGGAAGCTATGTAATGATCACAGCTAAGTTCAAAGTTAGCTAAACCAATCAACTAACTTTAACTAACTTGACACATGTCATTATTTCATAAGCTTGTAATTACAATGCTTAACGGTTCACGAATGATATATCTTGATGATGTGGCATGATCAACCACAATCGTATCAATACTCCCTCCTCAACAACTGACTTGTCCTCAAGTCATACTGTTGTAAAACCCAGGATACATCTCCTTAATAACATCAGACCATCCCCACATTGCATCCTCGGCTCTTTGGCCTTCCCATTGTATCAAAAACTTGACCCTTGCTGCGTTAACATGCTTCACCAACTGTCTTTCTAAAATAGCTATGGGTTCCACTTTAGCATCCCCTATCCTTCCATGCAACCAATCAGGTATATGAGCTTTGGTTGGCAACTCACCTCTGAATCCCTACAACTGAGAGGCATGAAAAGTATGGTGAATCTTAGCTTATACTGGTAATACTAGCTGATAAGCCACCTTCCCTATCTTCTTATTGTCACGCCCCGGACTGCATCCGAGCACGTGTACAATCGTCGTGTGATCAAGCGACGTCACTCGCACATCAACCTCACTTAATCACACAAGGCGTTCATGAACATCGTGCATACCATACTCAGTAAGTAAACATACATAACAACATCACATCATATATTGAATGAATAGTGGAAAATATTCATCGGTCAATCATAAGTTACATATGGCAAAACGTAGGCTCGCAGGCCAAAACAAAGTAATATTACAAAAGTATCCATGAGCATAGTTTAAGATTTTAAACAGTAAAGGAAGCACGAACCATGTCTTCCTCTAGATTCTTTTCACCCGTGCAAAGGTGTGGACAACAAGCTCTAGCTTCAACTTGAAATGGTGGGGGGCCCCGAAGGGGTCAGTACAAGTACCGAGCGAGTAGCAAGCTAAATGTAGAGTAACTAATGTTTCAAGAATAAGACCCAAACATAGGGTGATACATATACTTATACATCTCCTTGAGCCAAAATTCACACTTAGAGAACTTGGCGAAGAGTTGTTTTTCCCTTAGTCGCTCAAGTACAAGCCTTAAGTGATGTTCATGTTCTTCTTCGTTCTTCGAGTATATCAAGATGTCATCAATGAATACAATCACAAAATGATCTAAGTACTCACTAAACACACGGTTCATCAAGTCCATGAATGTCGTCGGTGCATTGGTTAAACCAAATGACATCACTAGAAACTCGTAGTGACCGTATCTAGTGCGAAATGCACTCTTGCGTATGTCACTATCCTTGATCTTCAATTGATGATAACCCGACCTCAAATCGATCTTTGAGAACACCATTGCTCCCCGAAGTTGGTCAAACAAATCATCAATCCTAGGTAGAGGATATTTGTTCTTGATTGTGACCTTGTTCAGTTGTCGGTAGTCGATACACATTCTTAGTGTACCGTCTTTCTTCTTCACGAAGAGTACCGGTGCCCCCCACGGTGAATGGCTAGGACTAATGAATCCGTTGTCCAATAGCTCTTGTAACTGGACCTTCAACTCTTGAAGTTCTGCCGGTTCCATTCGATAAAGAGGAATCGAATGGGTTTGGTTCCCGGCTCTACTTCGATCACGAATTCGATTTCCCTATCGAGTGGAAGCCCCGGTAAGTCTTTGGGGAAGACGTACGGATACTTACACACGATACGTACATCGTTGATGTCAACTTCTTTCTTTGTCTCGTCCACCACGTAAGCAAGGTACGCGTGACATCCTTTCTTCATCATCTTCCGTGCCCTCATCACGGATATGATACAACTATGAGATCCTCCCCGATCTCCCTCAAAACGTAAGACGTTTCCCGCATTATACTTGAGTTCCAAGACTTTGGCGTAGCAATCCACTCGAGCACGATGCTTCTCAAGCCAATCCATTCCGATGATCGCATCAAACTCCAACATGCATAGGGGTACGAAGTCACAGGTCAAGGGTTGAGCCGTCACTTCTACCTCACATGCATGATAATAATGTTTCCTCTCCACATCGTCTCCCAACGGTGTAGAGACCAACAAAGGTTGTGTCGTTGCTATCAACGGTACGTCTAAACCTTTGGCAAACGCTTCACTCACAAATGAGCGTTGTGCCCCGGTATCGATGAGAATTCTTGCGTTTCTAACATTGATCTTTAGCGTTCCTACATATATAAGTCATGTAAGATGCCTTTCCTACCATAACTATACATCTATGGAGGTTTGTTATGTTCATACACATGTTTGGGATCAAAGAGAGGTCTTAACGTCGCAAAACGCCATGAAACAAAACCCATGTTGGGCAGTCTGGGTGCCACGCACGGCGTGCGTAGGAGGCACGCACGCATGCGTGTCTACGGTTTTCACCTAGGGCTACTGCCCCTCACGCACGGAGGGACGCACGGGGGACGCACGGAGGGACGCACGTGTGCGTCACCCCATGTACGGCCGTGCGTCCGACACTCGTTTTCCTGGAGGCCTACTACCACCCACGCACAGTTGCATGTAGGCGTGTGTGGCGTGCAGTGGCCATTTGGAGCCCGTTTCGGCCAAAACTTTCCTGGTTCACCCCCGGGTGGTCCGTACTCAAATACTACGACCTACCTCATCAATATAAGCCTAGAAACAGTCGAAATTTAGTGTATTACCTGCGACGGAGTCCGGGTTAGCACGTGCATCCACTTCGGTCATTGCATAGACCCTTGCTTGGGCCCCGTGTTGATTTACGGATGCGGCATTGGTTGTGGATGCGCCGCCTCTTCCCGTGTCGTCGTATGATGGTCCTGCACGGTTCCTTCCCGTCATGGCTCCACCTCCGTCCCCCGAAGCGTTCCCTTGTGTCAATTGGGGGCAATTAGCTTTCATATGCCCC